CAAGAGCAACCAGGGCAACATAGCAAGGCTTCATCTCTACAAAAAAATAAGAAATAATTAGCCAGGTATGGTGGTGCAAAACTGTAGTCCTAGCTACTCAGGAGGCTGAGGCAGGAGAATCACTTGAGCCCAGGAATTCAAGGTTGCAGTGAACCATGACTGCCACTGAAGACAAAGAAAGAAAGGTAGAAAAAGAAAAGGGAAGGGGAAGGAAGGGGGAGAGAAGAGAGGGGATTGGACGGAAAGGGAGAAAAGGGGAAGAACAAAGGAAAACCTCCTTAGCTCAATAGGAGCATCTATGAAGCATCTATTGCTAACATCATACATAATAGTGAATGGCTGAACACTTTCTTCCTAACATCAGAAAGGCAAGGATATTTAGTCTCACCACCTCTATTCAGCATTGTACTAGAGGTTCTAGGCAATGCAGTAAGGTAAGAAAAAGACATTAAAATTACCCAAATTGGAAAGAAAGTAAGAGATCTTTATTCACAGATGACATAATCTTCTATATAGAAAATTCTATGGAATCTACCAAGAAAAAACAGGCTATGAAAACTAATAAGCAAGGTTTCCAGATACGAGATTAGTACACAAAAATTATTTCTATGTACATACTAACAATGAAAAATTAGAAATTAAAAGACAGTGCCATTTACAGTGGCATCAAAAATATTCATACTTGGGTAAAATCTGACAAAAGAGGTAGAAAAGACTATATACTACTGTAAAACGTTGCTGAGGACCCCATAATCCCAGTACTTTGGGAAGCCAAGGCAGGTGGATCACTCGAGGCCAGGAGTTTGAGACCAGCCTGACCAACGTGGTGAAACCCTGTCTCTACTAAAAATACAAAAATTGGCCAGGAAAGGTGGCTCACGCCTCTAATTCCAGCTACTGTGGAGGCTGAGATAGTAGAATCAGTTGAACTCGGGAGGTGGATGTTGCAGTGAGCCGAAATTGAACCACTGCAATCCAGCCGAGGTGACAGAGTGAGACTGTCTCAAAAACAAAATTAAAAGATTGCTGAAAAAAATTTTTAAAAAAATTTTTGAGACAGAATTTTGCTCTGTTGCCCAGGCTGGAGTGCAGTGCCTCAATCTTGGCTCACTGTAACCTTTGTCCCCTAAGTTCAAGCAATTCTCCTGCCTCAGCGTCATAAGTAGCTGGGATTACAGGCATACGCCACCACACCCAGCTAATTTTTGTATTTTTAGTAGAGATGGGATTTCAGCATGTTGGCCAGGCTGGTCTCAAACTCCTGACCTTAAGTGATCCACCTGCCTCGGTCTTCCAAAGTGCTGGCATTACAGGCGTGAGCCACCATGCCTGGCTGCTGAGAAAAATTTAAGATGACCTAAATAAATAGACTGTTCATGGGTCAGAAGATTCATTATTAAGATGGTAGTGCTTCTTGAATTCATCAATACATTCAAAACAATCTCAGTGAAAATTCCAGCAGACTATTTTGTAGAAATTGGCAAGCTAATTATAGAATGTATATGGAAATGCAGAGGATCAAAATAACTTCGAAAAAGAGCAAATCAAGACACTATGATAGTAATGTAAAAGTAGATATAGAGGCCAGGTACAGTGGCTCACATCTGTAATCCCAGCACTTTAGGAAGCTGAGGTAGGAGGATCACTTGATTCCAGGAGTTTGAGACTAGCCTAGGCAATATAGTGAGGCTTCATCTCTCCAAAATATATACATATATATTTTTTTCTTTCTTTCTTTCTTTTTCTTTCTTTCTTTCTTTCTTTTTTTTTTTTTTGGACACAGAGTCTTGCTTTGTTACCCAGGCTGGAGTGCAATGGCGCAATCTCAGCAAACCACAACCTCCATCTCCTGGGTTCAAGCTATTCTCCTGTCTCAGCAGCCTCCCAAACAGCTGGGATTACAGGTGCGCACCACCACACACAGCTAATTTTTTAATATTTTTAGTAGAGACGGGGTTTCACCATGTTGGCCAGGCTGGTCTCGAACTCCTGAGCTCAGGTGATCTACCCGCCTCAGCCTCCCAAAGTGCTGGGATTACAGGCATGAGCCACTGTACTCAGCCTACAAAAAAATATATATATATATATATTTTTTTTTTTTTGAGACGGAGTTTCGCTCTTGTTACCCAGGCTGGAGTGCAATGGCGCGATCTCGGCTCACCGCAACCTCCGCCTCCTGGGTTCAGGCAATTCTCCTGCCTCAGCCTCCTGAGTCGCTGGGATTACAGGTACGCACCACCATGCCCAGCTAATTTTTTGTACTTTTACTAGAGACAGGGTTTCACCATGTTGACCAGGATGGTCTCGATCTCTTGACCTCGTGATCCACCCGCCTCGGCCTCCCAAAGTGCTGGGATTGCAGGCTTGAGCCACCGCGCCCGGCCTAAAAAAATATTTTTAAATTAGCCAGATATGGTGATGCACGTCTGTAGTGCCAGCTACTGCTGTGAGCTATGATCATGCCATCGCACTCCAAAGTGATACCCTGTCTCCAAAATAACAAAAAAAAGTAGACAAACATAAAAATAGTAAAATACAGAGACCATAAATAGATTCACACATATATAAACAATTGATTTTCAATAAAAGTACAAAGGTAATTCGGGAGAGAAAAAAGTCTTTTTAACATTGCTGCTGGAACAATTGGATATTCATATGCAAAAGGAAAAAAAGAACCTCAGTCCGTACCTGTTACATATACAAAAATTAACTCAACATGGGCCATAGACCGAAATATAAGGGCTAAAAATATAACACTTATAGCAGAAAACATAGGAGAAAATCTTTATGACCTTGGTTTAGTTCTTTAGATAAGACACCAAAATGGTTTTTTGACTTCATTAAATAAAGACTTTCTGTCCTTTCAAAGACACTTTTAAGAGAAGGAAAAGACAAGCTACAGACTGGGGAAAAGTTTTTACAAATCACATATCTGATGAAGGACTTTTATTCAGAATATATAAAGAACCCTTAAAACTGAAAAATAAGAAAACAACCCAATTAAAAATTGGCAAAGAATCCAAATAGACATTTCTCCAAAGAAGATATCAGAGGTCAAATAAACACTTGAAAGATTCTCAACATCTTCAGGCACTAGAGAAAGCAAATTAAACCCAAAAAGAGATATAATATACCTATTACAATGTCCAAACTTAGAAAAACCGGCCATACCAGATGTTGGCAAGGATGTGAAAGAACTGGAACTCATAGACTGCTGGTGGAAATGTAAAATGTTATAACCACTTTAGAAAACAGTGGCAGACTCTTAAGAGTTATGCTTACATGTATTGGATGATACATTTTGCTCACAGGTATTTACCCAAGAGAAGTGAAAGCATATGTCCACACAAAGAATTGGACGTGAATGTTCACAGAAGCTTTATTTGTAAATAAATACTGGAAACAACCCAAATATCCACTAATACATGAATGAATTAAAAAATTATGCTATATTTATATGTAAATAATAAGTAATAAAGGAACAGATTTGATATATGCAGCAACATGTATGAATGGTAAAATAATTATGCTGAGTAAAAGAGTCAGACATAAAAGAATATGTAGTTTATGATTCCATTTATATGAAACTCTAGAAAATCCAGTGCCAGAAAGCTGGTCAGTCATTGCAGGAGTGTGGTACAGAGGGGCACAAGGGAGGAATTATTATAAGGGCCTTAAGGGTACTTTTGGTGTTGATGGATTTGTTCACTATCTTTATTGTGATGATGGTTTCACAGTTACATACATAACCAAAACATCAAATTGCTGACTATAAATATGTGCAGTTTATTGTATGTTAAAGCTGTTTAAAAAAAATAAAGCCAAAAAGAAAGTAGGACCCAATACTGGAATTCTTACTACTATAGTAAACATTACAGAAAAACTATGTAACTATATAAATTAATTATAGATACTGTATTTTAAAATACTTCAATGGGGCCAGGCACAGTGGTTCATGCCTGTAATCTCAGCACTTTGGGAGGCCGAGGCAGGTGAATCACCTGAGGTCAGGAGTTCAAGACTAGCCTGGCCAACATGGCGAAACCACGTCTCTACTAAAAATACAAAAATTAGCTGGGTGTGGTGGCACACACCTGTAATCTCAGCTACTCGGGAGGCTGAGGCAGGAGGATCACTTGAGGCGGAGTTTGCAGTGAGCTGAGATCGCACCATTGCACTCCAGCCTGGGCAACAAGAGCAAAACTCCATCTCAAAAAGGAAATACTTCCATGGTATTTGTTAAAGCAAAGAACCTTTTATAAAAGTAATCTTGACTGTTGAATGCATGTTTTTTCATGACTGCTGTTGTGATACATTGTGTTTCCTTAAAGTGGATATACATCAAGGTGGCTGGGATAACCACAACACAATTCCACATCTTTCCAAGAGCTAAGCAACTATAGCGTATGGTGATTGTGCTTTGCCTTGAAATGGCAGAGGGCAGATGCAATAGCTGACTCTACTGAGTCTTCAGTGTGCAGACAGTTTGGTTCACTTGTTAAATATGTATTGTTATTTGATATTTACTCTACTTGGCATCTCAGCCAAATTTCACCTTAGGAACTTACATGTACTTCATTTAGACAGCATACAAATACTTCAAAATGATTCATTTCCTCTTAACATAAATGTAAATTAGTCCTTGCATGGAGACTATTTGCATGTGAAGGTTCCTTTTCAGCCTTCTAACAATATTAGAACCACCAAGTTTTAAAATACCTATGTGTTTCAAATGTTTTAAGTGTTCTGTTAAAAGATCTGGCTTTGTTACCATGGGGTAAAAGAATGCAGTAAGTAGAAAGGATAAAGTCATCTGTGGAACTTGACTTTCCTGGTATGTTTCCTGAGCTCATTATACAGAGTAAGCATGTATGTGCTGATTGGCAGTTCTCCTCCTTCCCGCCATGCTTATGGCAGTGGGACACAGGGACCATGATGTTCTTTCTCACCTTCTCTCTCTGATCTGACAGCTGTGGTGACTCAGCCTTTCTTTCTTTCAGGGTGTGAACGGCATGTCTGTGGATGAGAAGCCTGACTCCCCCATGTATGTGTATGAGTCCACAGTTCACTGCACCAACATCCTCCTGGGCCTCAATGACCAGCGGAAAAAGGATATTCTCTGTGACGTGACTTTGATCGTGGAGAGGAAGGAGTTCCGGGCCCACCGGGCTGTGCTGGCCGCATGCAGTGAATACTTTTGGCAGGCGCTGGTCGGACAGACAAAAAATGACTTGGTGGTCAGCTTGCCTGAGGAGGTACGTACTTTGGTTTGTGTATTGAAGTGAATGTTTATTGACTTACAGAAAACTGGCTGAGTAGGAGCTAGAAGGTATACTAGATGCCATGTCACTACTCAGGAGCTGATGTCCAAGTCACTCACACGTTAGGTTTGTGGCATAGCTGGTTTCTATTTGATACACTTAAAGTCTCAGAGGCACAGAATATGAGTATCTTTCTTGAAGGGAAGTGAACCTCACCTGCGGCTCAGTAACTTGTAGTTTCTAGTTCACTTACACGTCAGGTTTTGAGTAGTTCAGCCTAAGTTTGTCACAGTCCTAGATGTGGGATCTGAATCATTGCTATGATTTCTGTGTTTCAGATGGTTTAAGGATTGCTAGATTTCCCTTGAGAGTAAAAAGTCGAAAGCATTCACAGCACCTTCTTTGCTTGGGGGAAAAATAAAAGCAACTAGTAATATTCACCGTTAATTTAGTAAGATTCTAAGAAGCATAAACTTGATTTTCTCACCATTGTTGAAAGCAGCCCACTCAGGTTTCTTAATTACTTCAGTGAGTGCGGTTATTTTGTCACTTTGGGGACACTAGTAGCTGGACCTGGTCTGTCCAGAGATGACTTTTAATTGGATGGTTTAAGTTGTAGCAACCCAAAAGATGGGCAGACCATTAAATGGTAACCCTTTGAACCATATATACACTTCCTCTTGGTTCATCATCCTGACTTTTGTCGTTCCTGTGGGGCTAAGGGTAATACTTTGTGTTCAGGGCAGAATCATTTCCTGTGCACCATCAGCACAGTGTGCAACTCTTGAGCCACCACCAACAGTTGCACAAGCTGTGTACTCTGTAACTCCCAGGAGTACAATTCACATCCATAGTTTTTGCAAATAGATTCCCTAGAGTTGTGTAGTGTTCCACTAAGCAGCTCTTCACAGCGATCTTAGGAGAAACCAAAGACCCCGTCACCCAGGTATGATGCTGATGGTTACAACCAGCATTCAGTCCCAGAGGTCACAAACCAGATGCCTTCAGGGGCCTGACAAATAATATAAATGAGTGAAGTAGGTTATATATAGGACAGTAGAAAGTGATGGGGCAATCACCTGCTCCACCAAAAGACAACTAAATTCAACATAAAAAAACAAATAAGAAGCCAGGTGCAGTAGAGTGCACCTGTAGCCCCAGCTACTCAGGAGGCTGAAGCAGCAAGATCCCTTGAGCCTAGGAGTTTGAGACAAGCCTGGGCAACATGGCAACACCCCAACTTAAAAAAGAAAACAATATTTTGGGAGGCCAGCGTGGGCGGATCATGAGGTCAGGAGTTTGAGACCAACCTGGCCAACATGGTGAATCCCTGTCTACTAAAGATACAAAAATTTAGCTGGGCATGGTGGCACGTGCCTGTAATCCTAGGTACTCGGGAGGCTGTGGCAGGAGAATTGCTTGAACCCAGGAGGCAGAGGTTGCAGTGACCTGAGATCACACTATTGCACTCCAGGCTGGGTGACAGGGCAACACTCTGTCTCAAGAAAGGAAAAAGAAAATAAAAGAAGAAAAAAGAAAATGATAATTAAAATGTTAAAACACTATTTGTGTTTGTCTATTTGACAGACAAACGAGATATGGGCAGTGGAGGAGCCATCAGATCTCAGTTCTTTGTTAAGCAACATCTCCTATTATCCCTGCTGAGCAGGAAAGCGGCCAGCTGATAAAAATGAGGCCAGATAAAAACTGGGCCAGGTGTAGCAGCTCACACCTGTCATCCTGGTACTTCAGGAGGCCAAAGCGGGAAGACCACTTGAGTCCCAGGAGTTCAAGACTATCCTGGGCAACATAGGGAGACCCCATCTCTACAAAAGATTTAAAAATAAACCAGATGTGGTGGCACACACTTGTTTCGGCTGCTGGGGAAGCTGAGCAGGGAGGATCACTTGAGCCCAGGAGGTCAAGGCTGCAAGTGAGCTGTGATCACACCAGTGCACTCCAGCCTGGGTGACAGAGTGAGACCATGTCTCAAAATAAAAAAAAAAAAAAAAAAATGAGGACTGCATATGCACTAGCATTTTCACATTTGTATCCTTATTACATACTCAACATAGAGTGCTCCATTACCACTCCTCATACCACTAGTTACATAGGTAGCTAGAGAGATCCCAACACTAGAAGCAAAAAAAGAGATCAGCTAAATGACATACTGGGACTGGGATAGGGAGTGGAGCACTGGGTACCAAGTAACAGGGGAAGGCCAAGGAATGGCAGCTGCAGTGTAGCCAGGGGATCCTGAGCTGGCCTTTCTTCAACTGCGCCGATGGGGACATATTTATCTAGCTGGCTTGCCATGAGGACTAGGTGAGATGATAATTACAAAAATTCACAGCACAGCCTTATCCTCTAGTAGGCATTTGACAAACATAAGTCCCTTTTTAAACACAGGGTCTTGCTCTGTTGCCCGGGTGTGACTGGAACTCTTGAGCTCAAGGGATCCTTTTGTTTTGAATTATTTATCAAAAATACAATACCAATACAATAAAATGTAAAGGAAACTGGGATATAAATGTATATGGTATAACCTTAAAGATTCTTTTTAGATAAAATCCCTGATAATTGCTTATTTCTATGACATTGGAAATGGCATTTTAAATGAGAGCCACACTGTATAGACATCACCCAAAAATCAAGTGAGAATTTGCTGTGTGTTCTCATATAAGTGGGAATTTGCTGTGTGTTGATTTTCTTTCTTTCTCCCCCTGTAAAATGGTTGTCATCCCTGCATCATCTACATCCTCCAAACCATTGAAACATTCTGGTTGCTCATGTTTCTGAAATCTTCAGGTAGAACTAGATCCTTATTGTTCTTATGAAATGCAAATTCATATTGTCAGTAATCCACCTCTAAGTATCTTGTTGATGCAACATGCAAGCCAGCCCCAGTGACATTTTCCTTTGAGGATCTGTCATTGTTTCTGAGGCCTCCTTTGAAGGGCCCTCCTGCTCTGCTCAGGGCACCTGCCTGTGGACCTGCGTGCTGGGCATCATTTTCCTCCGCTTGCTCTGTGCACACTGAAGTGTCCCTGCAGGCTCAATGGTAATTGTCACATGTAGCTCAGTGAATTATTTCATAGAATTTGAATTAAGGGGTAAATAAGCAAACATTCTAAACACTACCTTAGAAAGTAGCTGTCTGGAACTAATTGGCATTTAGTTCAGAAGATATAAGAAAAAGCATTAGATTAGCTCCTTGGAAATCTTTAAACCTCATCATAATCCTACCACCGAATTTGAATCAACTTTTGGCCCTGCCCTCCTCTTATTCACACTTGACCCATCTACACTCCCTTGACAGCCGCCGCTGTGCTCCTTAGGGGTCCAGCATGGCCAGGCCTGAGAGTTCCTCCTGGGAGCCTGAAACTTCTTAATGCAAACTGCCACTCCTCCGCCCCACTCCTCATCCACTTTTGGCCAAACCCAGATCTGGCCTCCAGCAACTGTCCACCCCAAATCCCATTTCCTGATGAGCCATGCCATTACTAGCACATGAGAGCCACTCAGAGCCCAGCATAGCCTCTAAACTGAAAGAGAGACAAAAATAGAGGGAGGCCTCTTTCTAGAAATCAAGGAATAATTGAATTACCTTGCTTTAAAAAAAAAAAAAAACCAATGACAGCCCCTAGGATTTCTAGGACTTGAGTGTTGGTTCCCCACTGAACAACACACCCAGGTAATTGTGTCAGCAGATAGTTGGAGATAAGCCACTGTACTTAGTACTTTCCTTATATAATAAAACAGATCATTCAATTTTATATGAGTGAGTGTATGTTGTGCTAAGAGATGAAGAGAAAGTAGTTGATGTGCCAAGCATTGCAGGCCGTTTTTCCACTGCTCATTAGCCTGACACCTCCTTAGCTATAGTCACAGAGGCCATTTCGGGCTGGATGCCAGCCGTGCCGGAAGTTGTATCATGACTTTGAAGTTCAGTCTTTTGGCATGTCAAGTTCAGAGGACAGGGATGGGATGTGCTTCCTTAGAAGATGCTCAGCCCACAGTAGGTTTGCACATCAACCCTATTCTTATGTGGCTGTTTGGCTCCCTCACAGAATGCTAAGGGAGGAGCGGCTGTCAAGAGGTTACTGCCAAGGCCTCACCACCTTTCTCTGGCTTGCTTCCTGTGTCCTTGTACCCTCTAGAGAAGGGGACAGGTTCATGCAGGGAACGGCTACAGGGTGGGGGTGAGTATGGCCCCTGCAGGTAGACCTTATGTTTTCTTCAGTATAAATAGATTTCAGGCTTGTGCTGGGTTGTGCTCTCTATCTTTTGCCTTCTCTCTCACTCAACATTTTGGGGCAAATCTCACTTTTCAGTGCTATACAAGAAAGAAAGCTGACCTAGAAGCATTCTAAAGAAAAGGCATTTGTTGTTAAGTCTTAACCACAGGGTGCAATAAAGAACATTCCTGCAGCAGTACTGCCAAGCACAGATGCCAACAAGGAAATTATGGAATCTTCTTGTCTGGAAGTTTTTAGAGGATATGAAAGCTGTTAATGTCTCAGGGATGGTTTAGGTTCAGTCTTTTAAGGAAGCAATAAGACAGCCAATGATTATCTTTGGGCAATCCATTCAGTATGTAATAGTACAGAAAGTACTTAATGCCACAGCATAGGATGACAGCAGCATTCTGAGCCTGAGAGTGAGTGCAAGGGAAGGTGAAGTTTTGGTGGGAAACAAGGGTGAAGTCTTTGGGAAGTGGCATGACCAGGATGAGAAGGGCAAAGCACTTAGCTAGCCCAGACCACAAAGCCTCACCCCTTTCACCTAAACAAAACTCTGAAGAAGACACTACCACTCTTTGCCTGAAAAAGAGTAATGGGCAGATTTTTTTTTAAACTAAGATCAGCAGCCATGAGGGGTTGGGAAAACCACACACTGGTCCTTGGTACCGCTGCATGTGAGATCTTCAGCAAACCAATCCACCTCTCTGGGTTTTGGTTTTCTCACTCATTGATTTATTTATTCAACAAATA